CCGTTGAAATCGGAACGGCAGCAGCTTTTCTGGTTCCATTTGAAATTCAAATCCATGTTGTTTTTTTTTTCTTGTTCTGGGTCAGAACCGAGTTTGCTAACGTGCGACGTGCTCCCCCCCGGGCGGAACTTTGGGGATGGGCGCGGTGGGCGGCGGGAACCGAGCAAGCGCCGTTACCGCCCGTGGGACGAGTAATCTCCAAGTGTTGAAACTCTGTGCGTCACCTCAGAGGCCTCGAGCATCGAAGAACGCAAACCGGAGCTTACCTGACAAGGCTATCAAGGTCCATTTAATCGTAGCCGCTAAGTCACTGCGCAAAATTCACAAAAAAAAAAAAAAAATTGCGTTGGATTGATTGCGTTTACGCGTGGGAAACCGTTCCGTTTTATGAGGATTGCGATTATTCTCCTATATGCTGCAGTGACATGATGTTACGCTATACCGTGGGATCTAGACTGGCCAAACACAAAGTTGGAGCTGTGAACCTCGGCGACAAACATCGTCGTGAGTATCCATGTCGGCGTGCTCCGTAAACTTCGGCCCCAACTTTGTGCTTGACCAGTCTAGAGCCTGAGTACTATACTGTCGCAAAAGAAAGTTTGCAGAAGTATCTGAACGCGCCCTCACGACAACGATGTAGATACACTTGGTGGCTTGTTTCTGTGTTGCGTTGCTGCCAAGGTAAAGAATAAAAATCACGACTTAAATCATGATTTAAAGCAGACCGGTTTTACTATGACGATTTAAATCAAACATATGCCCACAAAATAATATTAATAAATGTTTTATTTACCGTTTGTTCATCATTTAATGTTCTCAATGTGCATTTGTTTTGTATTTAAATCGAAAAATCATTGAGCAAGGAAGATTTGTACCAGGCTAAACCTGAGCATAAAACAGTGTTTTTTTGTTTTTTTTTCGCAAATCGGAACGTTCAGCTTTCTTTCTACCATGCACCTGCCGTCAGTTGCGTAACGTCCTCTTGTGATTGCAAGAAAATCAAATCGAACTACTGCACATTACGGTCCACGTTTTTCTCAAGACGCCATTTCTTTTGTATCGCCACCTGCCGAGCCAGGTCCACAAGCCCTTGAGGCTTTCACCGGCTCGCTATTGTACTTTCGAAAATGTATTTTTTTCAAATAAAACTATGTTCTATGTTCTATTTTACTCATATGTTGTTGCATCTGGGGACCCACCAACACCGCCTAAACGAGAAGGCCGTAGTGCTGGCATTTCTGCGTGACCAGCGAAGGCCAACGATGGACACAGATTGGAAACGAGTGCTGAGTCAGCGCTCGGCTAGGAGTCAAGTTCGAGCCGAACGTTGGCGCAAACGTCGTTTCCAATCTGTGCCCAGCGTTGGCCTTCGCTGATGACGACATCTCTATCAGTACTACGGTTTGGAGGTGTTGGACCGACTGACAACACCCCCCCCCCCCCCCGCCCCTTTCCCTCTCCCTTTTCCCCGTGTTGTCTCGAGCGTTTTACCACGGACATTATCCTCATATCCGAGTCTTTAATAGAATTGTCATAGTTAAATTTACGCTTGACCTTTTCTCAAATTTAGCGGGCGTTTAACGCACAACACTGCTGTCGCACGTTACAAAACCGCGCCATGTAAGAAACCCTCTGACGTCATCTCCCCCTTTCGACAGGAAAATAGAGCAGGTGGTACTAGGTGACGTCCCCTCCCTTATCTAGAGCAGGTGTTGTCATACCGGTTGGAGAGATTGTCCGCCATCCCCTGCATTGACCAGGCACGCGTCAAGGGGACATATATATTTTATTATCATGGTGTTTCCTAAGCTAATGCCGTCCGAATAGACCGGTCTCACTGATACGCCTGTCAGACGGGCACGTTAAATGACATTTAAGCAAAATGACATAACAGCTCGGCCAATCCGCGTGTTTCATACGCCACGCTGCGTGTGCACGCGCCACGTGCAGAACCAGGATCACGAGCTGATTCGCCGAGCGGTGAATGACATTTGAACAAAATGACATTTACTTTCCCGTCTGACAGGGGTATAAGAGTTCGACGCGCGCGTGACGTCGCCGTAACTGTAGTTCATAGGAGGCAGGCGCCAGTGCACGAGACAGCTCGTGCCCCCTCGTGCTCTGCTCGCACAGACCATCAGCGGGGTTGTCGCGCGAGCACAAAGACTACAGATCCCACGATGCGTAGTGGCTGTGAGATCGGTCTAATTACCCTAAAATGAAGAGCCGAATGTACCCAGGAGCCTTAGCTTAGACCCGTTGCTCTGGGGCAGGGGGCGCGAGCGCATTCGCAAGACGCGACCATGTTATGATGGCTGTACCATCCAGGTGGCTCTGTAACGTTCGATCTTGCACGTGCCGCGTTTGAGTACAAACATATGTCAGCATCTCTAGATGCGCAATAACAAAACGTCTAAGAAAAAATAAAATAAAAAAAAAATGATGCAGCTCGCGGCCGCAGCCTCCCATTAAACATTCCTTTCAGCTTTAATATTTGCATTGCTTTCTTTCATGCTTCCGCGAGCACGTACGTGTCACTTTACGTGATAGCGAAGCCAAAGCTACTTGCAAAAGCACGTTTCACCGAACGATGCTCGCACTGCACGAGAGCACGTGCTTGGCAGGGACATTGAAAACTCGGAGCTCGCTCTTGTAGCCTCTGCTACGCTGGCACTTAGAATAGAACGGAGTAAAAAAAAATTGTAGTGGGGAAGCGTAATGACGCAAACGCGAGCCAAATATTCTATTTTGCTCGCCCTGAGCGCTGCTCAGAACTTGAGAACAACGGGCCTATACGAAAGGCCGGGTGAGAACGGCAAGTAGGACCTTCAGCTGTCCCGTCCACCAGCGCAAGCTTCGTACACCTTCGGCAACGCTTCGGCGTATCGCGAGCCTCGAGCGTGCACGTGCAGTCAAAGCACAGTGGAAGGCGTGGAGCGCGTGCTGCAGTTGGAAAAAAGACGCGCCCTGCCGTCCCTCTGAGTGACTCAATCACTCAATTTCTAAGTGAGAGTTAACAATAAAGGAAATAGACTGCTTCTCTCGACCTGCACCACCTGACGGTATAACAGGTTTAATCCAATTTAACATAAAAAAAAACGAAGGTTGGCCAAAAGCTTCTTTAGTTCTTAAAGACATTTAATTAGGAAAACAGGGAGGCAGCTCAACCTTGGCATTGTAACGAACTTGGAAAAATTACGCGGGCATTTATGATTATTTGTGTTTCGTTTTTTCCTCCTTTTTCCGCCTTTAATTGTTGTTCCGTTTGGTCTTGCCTCTTGTCTTCGGTGTTCTTGACGACGAGGAAGTTGTCTTGTTCTTGTTTAGAATTGTTGTACTTTTGGAAACAATTTAAAAATCTTATTCTCTTTTAATGATTTATTTAATTAATTATGTATATCTGCGTTTCTTTGTATTATCATGTATGTTTTCATTTTATTCATTATTTGTCTTTCTCCTTATTTTTATGTTTGCTCTTTTTTTTTTTCTTCTTCTTTTTTTTTTGGGGGGGGGAGGCAGAGATTATTTTATTTCTTCCTCTCAGTGACTGTAGTAAAAATGTGTCTATGGGTAATTCCCGTTTTTTGAATAGCACCATATATCCGCCTGTATACTGACGAAGCCTGGCAGACCGCCACGAGAAGCGGCCGCCGAAATGGAGAAAATGGAGCGGCAGACAGCGGATGACAGGAGAGCCACGTGACTGGCGCCGCGCTGCGGCGAGACGCCGAAACGCAGCATCTCTCCGCTGCCGCGAGACGCTGCGGCGAGACGCGAGGACCCGAAAGTGTGTTTCGGGTCCTCGCCGCTGCAAAGGCTGTGCGCTGACGTCTAGGTTCCCCCAGGGTTCCCCTAGGTTCCCCGAGAAATGGCTCTTTGATGCTCTCTACTACCAGATCCTCGCGCTCCAAATCTGCGACCGGGCACTCTATGGCTCCGTCGTCGAACTGCCAGCCTTTGTGAGTATAGAGGAGGGGCAGCACCTATTCCGCTTGATGTGTGGCACTTTTGATGAACCAAACAGAAAATAATGGCGTCAAAAAAGTAAAAAAAAAAATTAAAAGAAATAGAGATCTGTTTGTGCTTCGTGAAACAGCACCCTGGGCGCACCAAGCGCTACGATCGAGCAACAAAGAATTCCGAACACGCAAGATCCGTCCGTTTGAAATTGTTCTACGAGTTGCTCAAATTGATTAAATGTAAAGACAGCGAGAGGTTGTTGTTGTAATGACAAATCGTGAAAATGGGAAAAGCCCGTGCGTAAATATTATCCACCCATAACGGGGGAAAGACTCGCACGGGCTGGGGAGAGAGGAGGGAAAGAAGAGGGAGGAGAAAGGGAAGGTTGATTTTGATAGTGGCCCACTCTGCCTTCAAGTGGCGTTTCGTGTCTCCGCTGTGGAGCGGACGTTGAACCAGTCCAGTAAGACTGCTAGCCCAGGGGGTCTTGTAACGACCGGCGCACGCAGTGCTGATAACAGAGCTGCTCCGGCGGTACAAAGCGCTTCGGTAATCCGCAACGCGAGCTTTTGCGACAGTCGTTGCCGAGTGTCGATAGATACTATGCGCTCGGTGCTCGCAACAGGAACGCAGGCTCACTTGCGCGTCGCGAAACAGACCGCAGGCAGGTCCCGTCCCCCGATCCATTTTTATCTCCTTCGTGTAAGCACGGCGACCATCCACTGCCGTCCCTCGCTCAATGGGATTCCCCGCCCGATAAAGAGAACGGCGGCTGCGATCGCAGACACAGCGCAAACAACTCGCTCGTTCGCGTGCATGCGAACGCGCTTTAAAGCAGGTGGGAAAACCCCGATTGCGCGGGTCGCGACTCGGACCCTGGACTGGAGAGCTGCCTGTTTTCCCCCGGCGACGGAAAGGAGGGGGAGGGAAGGACCTTGAGTCCCGAGTTCTGAGAGGAGGTCGCGACGTAGAGCTGACGGAGGCGGCCTTTTAAAGTATCGCCTCTCCCGTAGGCGCGGCGGCGGCGCGACGGGCGACTGTGTAGTTGCCAACGGTAGACCGCGGTCGCACGCGTTGGCCCACGGCGCTCGCCGCAGTCGCAGCCTGCATCTCGGTCTGTGTCGCTGGCATGTGCCGCGTCGCGCGTCGCCTGTCCCACGAGCTGCCGCGCATCATCTTCCAGTCGGAGGATCCGCCTTCCGCGTCGGCGTGTCGTTGCTCGTCGCTCTGCTTGCGCCCTGCTGCAGCGACCGCGAACACCCGGTGCGTCGTCCTGCTCTCCGGAAACAAGCTGGAAAGTTCACTCGCCTTTCGGCGCAGTCTGCGGACGTGCAACAGGCGTTGATCGGCCGGACACTGAACTTTGAGTGTTAGCGAAGGCCGGACGCTGTTCCCCTTTGTTTTGTGTTAGCTTTTGTTGGATTTGTTCATTTCACGGAAAAAGGAAAACAGAAAGGCAACTGTTTCTTTTATTCTTCGAAATAGTCGGTCGACTTTTGTTGGGAAGTGCGGCGTGAAGAATCCCTGCGCCTCTTCCGAGTGTCGGTGCGGCTTCTTGGACGTGCCCCCGTCGCCCCCGGCGACGCGAGTGGCCGCTGAGTTTGCGTCATTCGGCCTTGGTTGATTGTTCCGCGATAAGGCGGCCCATCGACGCGGGCTTTCTGGGCTCGCCACCGGCCGACGACAGTCATGGTCTTCGTGTTCGGCTCGGACCGCCGTCTCCACGCCAAGTGGTCGGTGAGTTGGAGGGTTCTGACAAACGGGTTTCGCGCACCTTCTCGGCCTGCGAAACGTTGATGCGTGCTCGGGCTCCGCGTGACTTGGTGCACCTTCTTCGTACCGCGTTGCACTTCAGGTGCGAGCGCAGCGGAAGCTACAAAAGCGAGCTACGGGCTTTCTGCGTCCCTGCCAAGCAGGAGCGATCGTGCAATGCAGCCATCGTTCGGGGGCAACATGTTCGGTCTCGTTGTTTCGGCTTAGCTCGCACCCCAACGTGACGGGAACATATTGCGGCATGGAATGCCTCTTTGCTGCACGTGCGAGAACGTGCACCGGAGTTATTTACCTCGTGCTCGAGATAAGTAACGGCGCGTGGCCTTATCTCGTGCTCGCTAGTAAATCTTGGGCAGTGTTCCAAAATTTACTCCATCTCACTCTCAGGTAAATGTTCTGTACCTTGGCGTTCGAAAACCTACCCGCGTCCAGGGTTGCTCTATCGGTGTTGTCACGTGACATGATCCGCCTAAGGCACCTCGGATTCATCCGAGTAAGATTTGGAACACAGCCTTAATGTTCCACTTGATAGCGAGTTGGCAGGAAAGACAAATACTAAAACGCTGAAAAGAATCGTTCGCGTCCTTGCTTGCTTTCGCAAGCGTGTCCAGTTTTCGCGTACCAACAACGGTGTCTTGAATCCGTACATAGTCGTTTTTTATTAGAATGAACTTTATACTAATCTTCCTTCCACACCCATCGACGTCGATGTTTGACCGACCTGCGCGAGAAGCCGAAAACAGCAGGACGTCTATTTCGCTATTCGGACTTGCAGCGCAGCGCCTCGACCGCACAAGGGCTTCCATCGGGCAAAGTGAAGTTCGCAGGATGTTACGAACGCGTGCACGAAACGGATCCGTATCATTTCGTGGAAACGCGTTCCATGGACGCACGTTTCATGGAGCCACGTTTCGTGGAAACACGTTTCATGGACTAACGTTTTATGGAGACACGTTTCGTCAACATTGTGGCGTTTCGTGGAAATTCGTTTCGTTGACATACTCTCCTAAAACGTTTCGTCGAAAAAGTTTTTTTTTAATATTAATATTAAATTTGAATGCCGCTAAAGGTTAGCTTTTGAATTACTAAGGCGTGTTTACGTAAGCGGTGTTTAAAATGTGGTTGCCATCAGTGTTGCTCAAAAGTTCGGTTTATTATTTTTTTTTTTTTTTAAGGTCTATAGCGTCGTTTTATGGAAACAAAAGCTATAGCATCCCCACTACCCGAAAAATCAGCTCCTCAAATATGATGGTGATTCAAAAATTATAGTCCGGTCTTCTGTTGACCGCACTGGCTTATCAGTGCTTTCCGTACCACTGTGCAGGTTTGAACGTGTTACATCCGTTCAGTTGTGACTGCGGTGCGAGAAAGAACGGCTACCCCTCTTGTGATTTGCACGAAAAAAACAAATGAAAAAAAGAACGTACAATGATTCATTTTTTTTTTCTTCTCTTTTTTTTTTTGTGTTTTTGAGAGTGTATTGGTGCCGATATCTATGGAATAGTTTGCGCACTCTATGGGAAAAGTGTCTTGTCCCAAGAGGGTGCTTGAATGGATACAAAAGTTCAAGAAAGCACAGACAATTAGTGTCAGCCATAAAGAGGGGCCCGACGCCCGTCCATATCCATGACTGATGACAAGATTGAGCGTGCACGTTAACTGACTCTATGGGATAGATGAGTGACGGCGGATGATGTTGCAAACCATTTGCAAAGCAGAAAAGGCTCTGCCTACATGTTGATCCTCGACAGGGCTCGGATTTTAAATGTTTTGACTAATATAAATCCTACAGTGCGTATAGTTGAAATGCCATCGTATTTAGAGGGGTGACTCCCTCATCTCTTCATCACTCCTCTGTAACATCTGCCTTCCTATAAAGAAGAATGATGAAGATCACCTCACAGAGAATTCTCCTGTATTTCCTTCTACCTCGACAGTAAAACTACTGCTAGTACTACTTTGATTTTTCTTTATTTTATTTACCGGTGCAGGAAAGAAAGCACAAGCCCGCGAACGGTAAAGAGGAGAGTTAAGCACGAGCTAAAATTTCATGAGCGGTCTAAAGCGCAGTTCACAATCCTCAAAACCGGCAAAAAAAAAAAAAGAAATCATGATTTGATGGATTGTTTCGCAAGAACGAATGACGTGTATAAAAGCCCCTGGATAAAGGAAGCTGTGCCTGTCGCGAGGTGACACAACGCAACTGGGTTTTATGGAAGCGGGGCAGAGGAGTGACACTTGTCGACCAAATGTGGGGATCACGCACTTGGGCAACCACCAGCTGTTCCCCTAAATCAAAGTCGGTGTCTCTCTCGACACCGTGGCTGCGGCGACACCGCGCGCATCTCGGTTCCTAGAAATATTTTACGTCTATTTTACCCGTTACGCGTGTCCTCTAACCAGTTGCGTTTGGGCACATGTCATTTAGTGATACTGTCAGGGATCGGCGCTGGGTGAGAGTTACATTAAAATCAGTTGACTGTCTCTCGCACGTATACGTCAAGAAGTACGAGAAGCCCTTATTTAAATCGTGTCGAAAACGAACGAAGATGTAAAAATGTCTGGTCAAGGGCACTATACATCTTATTTATTGTTACTGCATCGTCTGGCCCGTTTGGCACTCCATCCGTATATTTTGTGACAAATCGATTCTAGGTTGCGAAACAAATCATCGTTGTAACGGGCGGAACCCCTTTTCGGAACTTGTTTGAATTCGGGATGCCGAGCCAAACCTGCAGATGGCTTATCCTGAGTACAAAGAGGAATGATTGCTAACCCCGCGCTCTTAGCGCCGTGCCAACAGTTACATGCAGTAAAAATATGGAAGAAAAGAAATTTGCGAAGTATGGGGAAACAAATCAACTCGTCTTTTAATGCGTTTTTTTTTTTTTAATGACGATGTTTTTATTTTATTAGGAACGTCTGAAAAGGCGAAGCCCGGTCGAGGTCGCCCGGAGTACAAGCGGGAGGAGGCTTCGAAAGGGCCCCTCGCGCGTGCCAAATCCCCGGGATGATGTCAGGCGTTGCGAGAGTCCTTCACCGTGACATGCGGCGCCAAACCACTCCGCGCCAGTTCTTTGTTGCCCCCGGATGCGTACAAAATATTGCCGCATGCAACCCGGGCCCTTGGGCCCTGACGACACGAGGAAGGGCTCGTGCACGGGCCTGTTGCGTCACGTGCCTCGAGCGCAGCCGGGAACCAGCTGACGACAAAAGGGAGGGATTTCGCTCCATTAGCTTAACGAACATTCGGTCCAACTGCAAGCCGTCGCGAGCGCCTGGCTTCGTCGCAGCTGGTTTTTATGCCGCTCTCTTCTGCGCCCTGGGAGTGCTTTTTGCGCAACTTACCGTACAAAAACTCGGTGCTTGGTTAAACACGATCGGACCAGACGAATTTAGAGCGTGCTGAAAATATTGCGAGAAGAAATGGAAAGTGACGAAAAGGACGTTAGACATGGGCGCATGGTCGCACGGTCGTATAAAAATGAAGCAGTAAACGCGAAATAACTGCTACAGTACAACATTCGCCCGTTTTGCTACAGTAACGAGCAGCAAAACTGTCGAACCTACATCAGGAAGTTATGACTGTAAGCACAGCGATGGGCTTCTTCCAAGAAGAGAGCCTCCCGTGGTTTCTTGCTTGCGAATGTGTTGCTCGTTCCGTCAAAACTAAACTACACGCGGTCGCGGCTAAAACATATAAGAATGCGAGGGATAAATGCGTCAGTTGCGCAATTTTGCGTAAATGCGACAACTTGGAATTAGGCTTCTTGACAAGCATGATATTATTACGTTGATACCACGGATGTCGCCACCACCACGATGCACTTAAGAAGAGCAGCGCACATCCTTTCTTTTGGGTAACGGCGACCGTGTAGATCTCTCTGACCTGAGAATCCCGCTTCCGAGCCTAACAAGGGATGCCGGGAAAGAAACAATCCGAGGAGGAAACAATATTACTCGCGGAACGCAGTTTGCGCTATGGATTGTTACGAGTATCGATAATTTCGGACCGCGTAATGGGGCAGTTCTTCGATAAATACTGCAGGTAGACACATATAGATTATCTGGGTCATCGATAACTGCGCCGGAAGCGTCCGCGAACGCGCAGTTTCCACAGCAGCTCCATCGCAGCAGTGTGGCGTCACTCCACCGCAATGACGTCATCCTACCGCAGTGACGTCACACTGCTGGGATGGCGCTGCTGTCGGAACTGCGCATGCGCGGACGTATCCGCAGAATACAAGACGCCGCGCATGCGTCCACAGTGACTCGGCAGTTTTCGCCTGAATGCGCTGGAAAGCTGCCCTTTGCAGCTTATGAAATGCGGGGCCTCCTGGATTCGTGATTTGTATTTCGGCCTTCTTATCAGCCGGGGCTGCAGTCTGATTGGCTACTGGGCGATAATAAGACGCCCGAGCCTCGCCACGCCCTCCGTATCTTATGTTGTCGGATACACCGAGTAAAAGAATATATATTAGGACAATTCGAGGGGGTAAAAACAGTTTCAGGCGCGTTCGTCGATTTTACTAAAGCCTTTGATTGTGTGCATCGTAACATTCTGCTTTGTAAACTCGATTATTATGGTGTTCGAAGGTTGCCGTTATCACGCCTAAGTTCATGCTCTAGTCACCGCATCTACAATATATTAACATTAGTGATCATTCTTCCGATTAAGAAACGTATCATTTCGGGGGTTCTACGAGGAAGTATTTTACGCCCCTACTTTTTAACCTATGTATTAACGATATTGTGGATATAGACAGTGTTGCTGAATTTGTAATTTATGCGGACGACACTCGTATATTTCTTTCCTCTTTAAACAGCGATGAACTTGTGGATGCTGTTAATTTTACTTTGTCAGAGTTGGAGGCTTGGGCAAGGGAAAATGGACAAAGTATTAACGCTGAGAAGGCAAAAACACATTTCTATGCCGAGGCCTATGATATTTGGCTCAAGTTCGA